ACATAAGTAATAAATGAGATTTAAATTCATCAAACTGATTCATTATTTATGCACGATAAGAGTCTAATCACATCAATCAATTTAAGTCATCATCATTAATATTAAGATTAAACTTTTTTTTCTTTGAATAAGATGAGATTTGTGATCGTTCAAAAATTCTTAACATTTAAAAAAGAACTGGAGGAAGAACTAATCGTTTTAAAATTGAAGGAACCCATACCCAAGTAGCTCTATGTTGATATTTTCAATTGTTAAAAAAATTAAAAAAAAACATGGCTAAGATTTCGATCAAATTCGTGAGTTTTTTTTTTTTTTTGTTTTGTCGTGTGCCCTTTTGATTGTTGCAATAATCTATAGATTTCCCAATTTATTAGAAAAATTAGAGAAATTAATATATTAAGTCCCAATCCAACAAAATACATACATGTATGTATATATAAAATTGCCTTGATAGAGTCATGGAATGAAATTTCTACTTTGAATTCAAAGCTTTCGTCCTTTTAGTTGATGTCATTTGAAAGAGAAGGTTCTATAGTTCTACTTTGAATTCAAACTTCAAAGCTTTCTGTTAAGAGAAGGATCTTTCTTCTGTTAAGGTCACTTGAGAGGGAAGTTTTTTTTTTTGAACTTTTTGGGAATCAATTCATAATATCAAAAAATACATGACATTTAATTAAAGGGAAGGATTTTTTGGATTAATTAATTAATTATATATATATATATATTTGACACAGAATTTCTTTTAGTTGTAGTGTCTAATCAATATTATTCCCTACATTATAGAGCTAGAACTAGAATGGAAAAGAGTGCCGTCTTCTCTTCTTTTCTTTCTTTTTTTTTTTTTTTTTTTGACTAATTAGAAAGCATCCAAGCTTCTTAGATTACCTGTCTAATCCCCCGAAAAAATGTAGTCTTCTCGTTCCACATCCATTGTATAATGAACAAAATACTTTTCTAGGAAGAGATTGTCACAACTTAGAGGAGGCTGACAAAAACCCGAGAGATATAACTCAAGAGGTAATCGAGGCGAGTTGTAAATTCAAACGTCTTGAGTTTGAATCTTAGTAATTCTTTAGGATTACATCATAAGAAATTTATTTCTTATGAATACTTCAATCTCAGAGTGAATGATATGTCTTTAACTATATCAGAGAGGAGATTAATCGAGATACGCATAAGATGATTCGAGAAGCCTTATCTTTTAAAACACAAAAAAAAAAAAAAAAAAAATTGACAATAATTCGTGATATCTCTTCAGAGATAGCAAAAACATAGTAGTAAGGTGGAAGACAAAACTAATTCTAATAAAATGCAATTCATAATCCTATAATAGTTCTATCAAATCATAGTAATCTTTATATCTGACATTCAATCAGGTTGAGGCTGTTACTGGAAAGAAAGTTTAACCTTTAATGCCCCATAAAAAAGATAAGAAAAAGATAAGAGTGTCACTTTTGTCCACTATAATTATTATTTTTTTATTGTCGGAGTATCTAGGCCAATTTATATATATTTTGATTAATTTTTTTTTGATATAATCAAAATTAAGTCATTCACGCAAGAATTAGAGTATACACGAGAGATAATCTCTTATTACTTAATTCTAAAAAATTATCAAGATTCAAATTTAAAACATTTAATTTTACAACTTATTCATATTATCACTTGAGTTATTTCTAAGCAAATATGAAACCATCGAAAGACCTTAACAATTATTGCAATTTCAACAATTGGCCAATTTTTCGGGTTTGGAATTTGGTATGATATTATAAACTTGGATCAGATAATAATTTTAAATCGATTGATTGTCTAATAATACCAACAAAAAAAAAACCTTGAAAAATTGACTAGACACGCATTGCAGTTTAATAATATCTATATTGGAGGGATGAAGCGCTCTCTCTTTTCTACTTTAATCCCTCAAATTCAAGACAAAATAGAAAAAATGCATCAAAAGGAAACAAAATAAATAATATATCCAAACTATAAAAGATAATAAAATAAAATATTGGAACAAAATAAATCTTATAAATAATCACAAACTACAACTCCAAAATTAGCAAAATTCTTATCAATTATCATTTAAGGGGGAATGCCCATAACTAGCAATAGAGAACCAATTCACTAAACCCTTGGAAATAATCTTTCCCATTATAATTTTAGTTTTGCTTCTTTCTTTTTTTTGGGTTCCTTTAGAAAGTCTAAACTATGTTTAACATTTTCAAAAAAAAATGTCTACCGAAATATTTTTATGAAATTGTACTTCCTAACAGATGTGGCTCATCTATCATCGTCAGATATTCTTGGTATTCCCTTATTTAATGGTGGTGGGTGTGATGAATCACTTGAAAAATTGATTTGATAAAAATATTTGGTAAGGTGAGCAAAGTTTATAATTTTTTGGAGGAGAAAGTCGTAGATCAGCCCTTAAGCCAACTAAGAGGGATTAATAAGAATTATTAAGTGATGGAGAATCATTTTTCTAGAGAGAGAGAGAGAGAAATAAGATTAATATCCCTAAGAATTATGAAATTGGTCCATCTTTGTTTGGGTGCTTCAAAACACAGTTTAATAAGAATAAGTAAGATTAACGATTGACACTCCAATTATCAAATTACCACAAATTAAAGAAGTGTCATGTCCAATAGTCAATCCCATATAATTTTTTTTTGTTCGGCTATCAGGAATGTTCGAATTAATTTATACGCACCTCGACTAATTGTCTTTCCAGTCCGTTTAAAGGTAGACCATCTATGTCGGGATTAGAATATTCATGAGAAATGAATTTCATATAACCTAACTCCAAAGATTACCAAGATTTAAAATCATGACGTATACGTTTATAGTTCATCTCCATTACCATTTGAATTACTTATATGGGTTAAACCCCGTAACTAAGACCAAGTGCAAATTGGTTTAATTTCAATAGTATAACATAATTTTAAATCAATAAATAGATTTCATCAAATAGTAAAAGATGCAACCTTATGAATGATTGACTGAATATTTGGAAACTCAATATGAGGGCAATACTTGTTTTGACGAGGAGGGCAAGAATAAGTTGAACTCATGGGTCTCATTTTCCCAAAAATAAATCCAAAATGCAAGAGAAATTTTGACTTAGCTTAGTATAGATGCTATATTTTTTTTGAATTGTCAAACCAGAAATATTATTTAGCTTTAATTTGTTAACTTAATCGTTCATAATCATTTGATTGACGATAAATAACATATTTTTAAATAGCATGTTTATTGTCAAACAATGCAAAAAAATTTAGACATAGGATTTTTTTTTCTCATATATTGCAATTCAATCTGTATTATATACATATTTATGATGCAATTAAGTGATTATTTGACGAAATTGAGTCTTAAACCCATTCGTAATTAATTTTTAGGGTAAATATCATTTGCACAAAAAATTTCAGTTTGTTTCCTGAATGATTAATTTTTTCATATTACTCCTCAAAAAGATAAAAATATTATAATGTGGTCCACCATCTTATATCTGTTTAGTCGTCCGTCTATTTTGTGATTCTTGAATGATTGATTTGACAAAAACGGATGAACAATCAAATAAAAAATAAGATGATGAATCATATTGCAATGTTTTTATTTATTTGAAAGAATAATGTAGAAAAATTAATTATTTAAGGGACAAACTGAAATTGTTATATCTTTTAGGGGCAAATTAAAATTTTGCCTAATTTTCAACTTCAAACACATTCGAAAATCGAAATGGATTATGTAAATAAAATTCAGTACATACACGAATCAAAATCAGATCCATATCCATACTCGAAGGGCCTACAAAAGCCTCAGCCTCCCACACTACATGTGTAACCGTGTGCGAGGCTGGCTTGCTCAGACCCATAATCAGCCACCCTGCATTGGTCTCAACCACAACCGTGTCCGGTGGCCGGCCCCTCCACCACCACCATCACGCACCAACCATTGGGATCAACATGTTGATTTCGTATGGGGCAAATCACATTTTACACCCCCAAAATTTTTTAAAAATTGTAATTTATACCCTTTATAATTTAATTTTTTTACATTATACCCTCAATATCATAAAATATTTATAATGTGACCCTTATACTAACTTTCTCTTTTTTGGATTCCATTGTTCAAACAATAATTCTCGGAGAAGAGAGATAACTATATCATTTTTTTAGTAAAATTCATAGAATACGATTGAAAATTATATAAGAAAAGTTGTATTTATTAAACACGCAAATATATAGCTATCTATATATTCATATTTGACTTATTCTTTATTGATGTTCTATTTAGAACAACACGGGTCGTGCTCTATTAAAATAAAATTTATATTTTCTATTCTATGAAAAATTGAAACACGCTAATTTCCTGCGAATTTCTTATAGACATCATAAACATAAATAAAAAAGGTACTAGATCAAACATCAGTGAAATTTGATAGAAAGAGAAAGAAAGTTAGTATGAAGATCATATTATAACCATTTCATGATATTGATAGCACAATTTAAAAAAATTATTCATTAAAAGGTACAAATTGAGAATTTCAAAATCTTTCAGGGTCGAAAATAGGATTCCCCCTTCCTTGTGGGCCACTGGTTTTTGTAACATATTATAATCACAGACTGGTCAAATTTGGAGGTCAACCAATTACAATGACATCGGGTTAATTCTGTAATTTACCACTCAAATCATGCCCAACCTCACATACCACAGTCGTTGGTTCTCAGAAGAAACTCATCCACGCTCTTTATACACTCTCTCCTGAATCCTGATATCATCTGCAACCTTCTCTCTCTCTCTCTCTCTCTCATACACACACACACACACACCATCCTAAAGAGTCCCCATTTTTCAAAAATAATCCCCCACGAAATCGGATTTTTATCAGGAATTTGATCACCAAGCTCTGATCACAGCTAAACCCAACAATACCTCTCTCTTTAATCAACTTCAGGGTTCAAGTATATATAGATATATATTCACACACAATCTCAGTTATGGGTGGAAAGGGTAAGCACAGGTGGAAGATCTCGATACACAGATCGTCTTCGAAGAAAGAAACCCCTAAAGAGTTCATTTGTCCAATTTCTGGGTCGTTAATGTTCGATCCAGTCGTTGTCTCCTCCGGCCAAACCTTTGAACGGACGTACGTTCAAGTCTATAGAGAACTAGGCTTCACACCCACTCTCTCCGACGGCTCAAACCCCGATTTCTCTACCGTAATATCCAATTTAGCCCTCAAAACCACCATTCTCAATTGGTGCCGGAAATCCGATACACAAAATCCTCAGCCGCCCGATTACAGCTCCGTCGAGAACACCGTCCGTACACTCATGGCGGAGACACAATCGAAGGAGAAGTCGGAGATTAGGGTTTCGGACAGGGAGTTGTTGAAAGCGGTGGCGGAAAAGCCGCCGGCGTTGTTGTCTCACGCCGCCACCGAGTTGAATCCCCGGCGAGAGTACTACTCTTCGAGCTCCGAAGAATCGGTTATTGCCAACGTTCCGGCAACACCTCTCCTTCCGTTCGCAACTCGGCCTTCGTGTTACCACTCCTTTTCCTCTTCAACATCTACATCGTCGGAGATCGTGTCGGAGGAAACCCTGAACCCTAATTTGTCCTCGACCGCCGCTTCCGAAGACGAAAAGTTTCTGATCAAATTCAGGAGTCTAGAAGTATTCGAACAAGAACAAGGTGTAATTTCATTGAGAAAGATCACGAGAACCGACGAATCGACTAGGGTTTCTGTGTGTACGCCTCGGCTATTAGCGGCGCTCAAACAGTTGCTGATCTCGAGGTACGCAGTAATTCAGACGAACGCCGTGGCGGCCTTGGTCAACCTATCTCTCGAAAAGGTAAACAAAATAAAGATCGTACGGTCAGGACTTGTTCCCCAATTGATCGACGTATTGAAAGGAGGGTTTCCGGAGTCACAGGAACATGCCGCCGGCGCAATTTTCAGTTTGGCGTTGGAAGACGACAACAAGACCGCCATCGGCGTTCTCGGCGCATTGCAGCCTTTGTTGCACGCGCTGAGATCGGAAAGTGAGCGAACTCGGAATGACTCGGCTTTGGCTTTGTATCATCTCTCGCTGGTTCAGAGCAACCGAGTTAAGCTGATTAAACTGGGTGCCGTGAATACTTTACTTGGGTTGTTGAACCGCGGCGACTTGGTGGGGAGGGTGTTACTTGTGCTGTGTAATATGGCGGCGTGTGGAGAGGGGAAGGTGGCGATGCTGGATGGGAATGCAGTGGAGAGTTTGGTGGGGATGCTGAGGAAAGGAAGTGAGTTGGTGTCCGAGTCGACTAGGGAGAATTGTGTGGCGGCTTTGTACTCAATGAGTCATGGGAGTATGAGGTTTAAGGGGTTGGCGAGGGAAGCCAGGGCGGCGGAAGTGTTGAGGGTGGTGGAGGAGAGAGGGAGTGAAAGGGCGAGGGAGAAGGCGAAGCGGATGTTGGTGGTGTTGAGAGGGAGGAATGAGGGGGAGGATGGGGAGGGGGAGGAGGAGGAGGTGGACTGGGAAGGGGTGATGGAGGGTGGAGTGAGTCGGTACCGAGTGGGGAGGAATGTTGGTGCCAACTCAACTGAGTTTTGATTGGGAACAAAAAGGTGTAATTATTGGTAAAGCAAGGTGGGTGTTTCATGCTTTACTTTTTAATTTTAATTTTATTTTTTTTCTGTTTTTATCTTTGTGGGTTCCTAAATTTTGGATTTGTGAATGTTTATTATTATGTAAATAAAAGATTCTGGAAAAGTGATTTGGACTTTTGATAGGAAGCTTATTTTAGATTGTTTATTTGAATGATGTACTTCATTGAGTCTTTAGATTTTATTTGTGGGCTCCACCTAAGGGGCCAAAGATTAGCGCTGTGCTTGGGTAAGACAATGTTGACTCTAATTCAATTCAGACAGTATTCGGACTGACTGACGGATTCAACTCAAATCTAATCAATCAAATTTATGAGTTTGAATTCAATCTAAATTCTAACCCAAATATTGAAATGTGCTTTAAAATTGCTTCCGGCTTCTCAATAGTTCCTGTTTGCTATGTGCTTATTGTTTGCATCTCCATAGATCCTCTGCTTTGATGGTGCAAGTAAATCGAGTTCTCTTTGTCAGTTTGTAAGGGTCTATTAGTTTGTTTTGGTTTAACTGAGAGATTATGTGGTTTTTTTTTTTTTTTTTTCAATGAACAAGTGTAAATATCATAATTAGTTTTTAAATTTTATCTCTTATTTGAAAATGGTCTTTTGATGCCTCAATAGTCTCAATTTAGACCATCCTCCGTTAATTTCGGATCAATTAAATTTTTTTTATCAATATAAACTGTACGTCACATGAATGGTCATATGATAACCACGCGGGCTTACCTCAGTTTGTTATAATGGGCGAATGGACGGGAAGAATTTTATTGACACAAATCTTATGACTAAGGAACAAAGTTGAGATAATTAAAAATGCAGTAGGGGCAAAGTTTGCCAAATTGTTCTCCAATAGAATGGAGTATCTCCAACTCTCACCATTCATGAAGGGGTCACTATTCATTGGGGTGGTCCTTGGGTATTCTTTCTTATTCCTATCATTTTTTTACGCAGCAAAAAAAAAAAAAAAAGTCACTATTTGGTATTGTAGCACCAAGCTAGAATCAAGTACAAAAGTTAAGCCTAGCTGGTATTTATATGTATGACCTGTTCAATTTGATCTCAGAGTTTCTCCATGCTTGGAAAGGCTTTCTTACACATTCAAAATGGAAAGATTTTCTTCCTCATTTAGAATTTGCCTTCTTAGAAATTACTATTCTTCTCGACAACGAAATCAAATATAGTTTGCTCCAACATCTCCATATACAAACATCAATGTGATATCATTTGTACCACCATCACTTCTGTCACTGCCTAGTTTCTCCCTTTTTAAAAAAAATTTTTCACAATTTCTTTCCCTTCAGCATTGTTTTGCTCTACGATCACTTCAAAAGCTCAGTTTTTTTCTCACAATTTCTTTCTATCTTGCCTAGTCAGTGATTCCCTCTATAAACAATCCCGCGTCACGATTCCGGAAAACTTTAATGTCCTTTTTAACTTCCGTAATCTTCCCTTTGATGTGGTCAATATGTTCACTCTTTTGCCCATCACTAATGTCAATTGAATTTGGTGATAATGGCATTCACAGAGTTTGTCTTTTATAACCATGTCCCAACATCCCGATCAAGCCCCAAAATAATTGTGGGTGTCAATCGAGTCATTTTATGATCGTATCGAGTATTATTTAACTTTAATCTAATCTGCTTAATGAATTGCGTTTGATGTCCCGACATTAATATAATTTATTTATTGTCGTATTGTGTTCAAAGATACTCACATAATCCAATACTTAAAAATCACCAAACGTACCATTGATAACTTTTCCCCCCGTTAAAAATCTATTTAAGTTTCTATAATATCAAAATAAGCCAAAAAGAACCCCTTGTTATTAAAATGACAAAAATAATTCTTTTTATTTACTATACGTGTTTATCGTGTCAAATTTGGACTATTTCATGTTTAATACTAACCCGATCCTTTTTTTTTTTTGTCTTAATAAGTCGTGTCATTTTTTAATTTGTGTCGAGAATTAATCACCCATAACCTATTAATTTCACCTCAATTTTGAGTTTTGTTGTCGTGTAATGTTCAAAATTGTCACCCTTAATGATCTGTGATGGAGCAGCCAACAATATTGCGAAACCGATATTTATTGGGTGATCGACTCGAGTGAGGCATAGAACTTCGAAACGAACTATTTATTCAAAAAGCAACCTATTAGGAAAGGTTTTATCACTCCATGTTCATATCGATTGATTTTGAGTCAACATCATATTCAAGTTATATAGTTTTGTGTCATGTTATCCATTTGTCATATTCGGTCGACGTGGATCAGGGCCAGCCCTATCATAAGACCAACAAATTTTGGGCTTTAGGCCTTATATTTCAAGAAAATACCAAATTTTTTAGGTACATTATTAGTCTAAATTAAATTTTTTAAATCCATAAAATTTTAGCCCTTAAAAAAAGTCTTATGAAAATTTAAACTCAAATCAAAACTAAATTTGAGTAGTTTGGGCTCATAAACTCAACCCATAATATAAAAAATATATTAAAATAAATTTTTTTTTTTTAAAAAAAAGAAAAAACTAAGGGTTAAAAAATAATTTTAATTAGACAACCAAAACATATCATTCATTCATAATCATTCTCTCTATGTCTAGTAAACTAAGGCTCTCTCTTTCACTCACTCTCTAATAAATACAATTCGCGGTTGACATCGTTTTAAATTTTATTTTAACGTTAATTTAACGGCTAATATTAACACTCTAAATTTAATAGAAAAAATAGATCCTAAGGGTGTATTTGGAGTGATTTTTTAAAAGTACTTTTACAAATTATTTATCATAAATACATTTTAAAAAAAATAATGCTTTAAACCGCCCCGCCTCTACCACCACTGTCGCCACCACCACCACCACCACCACCACTGCCACCGTCGCCACCACCACCACCACTACCACTAGCATCACCGCCGCTACTGTTGCTCCTACCACGGCCACCGTCCCCACCACCACTACCGTCGTTGCCGCCACCCCCACCCCCGTCATAGCTTAATTCAAATCTTAAAAGATAAATAAATTGACTTTTATTATTCGCTGTTGAGATCGTTTTAAATTTTACTTTAAAGTTAATCTAACAGTTAATATTAACACCCTAAATTTAATAGAAAAAATAGACCCTAAGGGTGTATTTGGAATAACTTTTTAAAAGTACTTCTATAAATTATTTCTCATAAATACTTTTTAAAAAAAATAGTGCTTGAAACCACCCCACCTCTACCATCACTTCCGCCACCACCACTACCACTACGGTTATTATCACTCACCACAACTATCACCATCTCCTACCACCCCCACCATTGTCGCCAGCATCACCGCCACCACCATCACCACAATCATTGTCACTCATCACAACCATCACCGTCTCCTACCACCACCACTGCGGCCCATCACCTCTCACCCTACTACAAACCGATATTTAAATTCATTTATCTACCATCATCACTCCCACCCCCACCACCACAACCACTGCCACCACTTCTATTGCCGCCTCCACCATCATCACTGCCGCCACCACTACCACCGTCGTCGTCATCACCATTATCCCCACCACCACCACCATCATCACTGCAATCGTCATCGTCACCACGGTCATTGTCACCCACTACAACCATCACCGTCTCCTACCACCACCACTGTCGTCCACCATTATAACACCGACGCTTAAATTTATTTATTTTTTCTTTATATTTGTGATTTGATTTTAGATATGAATATAAATATGTTTATTGTTTAGCATTTTTTATTACTTTGTGCCTTCAGAAATAGACAATAAACTAGTTAAATTGAGATTTGTTCTCAGTTCTACTTGGACTCATGAGCCTGAGCAACATCAGCACACCTCTATTCATCGGGATAGACTAGGAATTTTTCTTTTACAAAAAAAAAAAAAGCCGTATATTATTTTTAAAAATGATATATGTTTTGACACACGTTTTCACAATGAGTAATGTTATCTACATTTAAAAATCCTATGTAATTTGTTAATCTATATTTGATGCAATAATTGATATGATTCAAAAAAATTATAATATCTTCAATTGTTAGGCTGTTTCATTAGCAATACATCAATTAACACATGGTTAAATTGCCAAAGTGAGCCATAATTATATGACATTTGAAATTCCAAATAAAATCTCAAAGGCGTAAGAATTTTTGGATGAATGGGTCTGTTTGAAAAAAAAAAAAAGTTAAGGGGGTGCCATTTGAAATTCCTAACAGTACCCATTGCTATCTGCTCCCCCCCCCCCTCTCTCTGGGCATATACTACAATCCGAAAAATTTTCTCCATTTTCTCTTGTTTTTCTATCACGAATTTCTTCAGTGCAATCAGTGTCGAAGAAGCTTAAGAAGTCTCAGCTCCAGGTACAGATTGAGAAGGTTAAGTTGTGAAAACTCAGTTCTCTTTTAATCCAATTTTCCTGCTATTTGTGTATTTCTTCTCGGTGAAAGTGTTTTTGAGTTTTTCCCATGGCATCAACCCTAATCGGTTTAACTGTGTAGATATCTATCGCATTACATATATATATTTTTTTTGTTATTTATGGATACCGGTAATAATCCCGTTTACTTAAAAAGACTCTATAATACCAAAAACAACATTTATATTTCAAATAATAATTTTTTTTAACTATACAATTTAAAATTAAAGTGCACAGACAGAGAAAATTAGGGAGAGGTAGGGGAGCTAGGTGTAGATTAGTGGAGTTGTCGGTGTGTTGGTTGAGTTGATGTTTTTGAGCGTGAAACAATATTGTCGAATGAATTCTGTAATCCAAGGGGTAAGATCAGGCTATGAGGATTTGAGAATTTCTTGAATATTTTAGTCCCGGCATGAATGGTCTATCTTTAATCGGATACCACTGACCTGGAGTGCGTAAGCTAGTCCGGACACTGCTCACCTTTGAACCCCCAAAAAAATATTTGAATTTTGTGCTATTGGATTAAAATATATAAAAATTAAATCAATTTGGACTGTTGTTATGTTTTTATAAGTTGGGAATAAAACTTCCTAATTGTGCTATTGGATAGATATGTGTTGAAATCCACCATGAACTTATCAAACACATGATCAACTAGGCTACATGTACCTAATAATGATTGAGAATCATAGTTGCTTAGAAGACATTTTGATTGAAGGCATGCCTTAAAAGGTTTGTCTTCAAATTTTTTATTTTGGCCATCAACCATTTCTGGAGTTGTTAATCAAAACACAATCAACAAATATGTCTTTTTATCAGTTGTATAACTATATTATTCATTTTTTTACTTATCATTTTCATTAATATATTTCAAAACATTGTTTGTGTTGTGGGTGTTCTAAATTCTCAGCCGATTTGTTTTTGCACTTCTCTCATGGACGTATTTGAGCTTAACCATGTATATTTGTTTTATTCGTTAATTCTTACCGTTCTATCGATTGTTTTCGGCCTTGTTCATAAGGCCTTTGAGTTGTTGTTAACCTCAGCTTGCTGGTTCTGGCGGCTTCTAAGTCACTGGATTCTGCATATTTTAAGGAAGAGAGAACCGAAATATTCTGATAACTTGCAGTATCGTATGAGACTCTCCATCTTAAAATTCACCTCAGACTGCTACTTGAGTCTGTCCACTACAATCTACTTAGAAAAGACATGGTATTGGTTGATTATGCATCAGAGCATGAGTTCATTAACCGAAAAATGACACGAATCAAAATGGAGATAAAGTTGTGACGAAGCATAAAAGTAGCAGAATTTGCAGCATAGAGATCTAACTGTATGTGTAGTAGCATGGTGTTTGATACTTGAAAATGAATGGAAGGTAGCATGTGTCTTGATGTTTAATCTTCAGCTAGATGATTTAGTCGTGAACACACCTGAAAGAATTATATTTTCTTGAATAATTACATCTCTGAACCAATTTATGCAGGTTTTTCTGATTGTGAATACCATTGATTAGGTGCCCAGTGTTGGCACACCGGAAGAAGACATATCTCTGTGTCAATCAACGGATTCTGAAAGATCTCAAATTCAACCTGGACTGTCTCCTATTTACGCATGTTAAGGTCTACCAAAATGCATCAAGAAAGTAGGTAAGCAGCAAAAAGAGAATTCCAATGATACCTCCTGGTGTTTACTAAGTTACTGCTGCATAAACTCTAATTCAAAATGAAATAGTGGGATGATTTGTTAGGATTCCATTCTAACTGCCTCTATTCTGATTTTCTTTATCCCCCTATTTGTTATTGTGTTTCGTTTTGTTTTTAGATTCATTTGCCTTTTTTAAATTGTACAGAAAATCAGGGGAGAGCATTTGTGGATGAGTATGGCAATTTTAATCAGGATCTGTATAGACTACTTTTGATGAATGAAACAAATTAATCTCTTGTTTGCCCGTTGTACTCAATGAAACAGCCTGCATAATGCACCTATTACCTATTACATCCAAATTTGGTTGTGCATTGCAAAACATGAAATGTTTGATCAAGCTTACTGTGTTTTGTATTCCTAAAACAAGAGATAGTGTTGTTCTGCAGTGGTAGGATAAGAGCAAGATTGGGATTTTTTTTTGTTTTAAGTATATGTGTATTGATGAGGGTGGGTGGTCTTGGCATTGCTCCATTATGATCTAGGCGTCAAGTGTTCAAATTGTTGAAACAATCTCACTCCATGTAAGCAGTGGCGGAGGGACATTAGGGCCAGGGGCCTAGGCCCACTCTCAAATTTTGGAATTTTTTTATGTATATTTTTAAATATTATTTTGTTTAAAATAATTTTATTGTACCCACCTTAATATTTTCGTATAAGCTAACACAAAATGGCTGAGCATGATACGAACTCGCTTCAAACATTTTTGGATATATTGAAACTCATTTTGTAAAAAAAAAAATTAAAATTACTAGCTTCTTTAAATATTGAATCAAAAATAGGATTATTATGTGATCAAATATAGGATTATTTGTAATTTTTAGAGTTTTTTTATATGACTTTTTTGCTAATTTTTAGGAATAATATAGTGAATCAAAAGTTGGATTAATATATGACTTTTTTTGCTAATTTTTAGCGTCTTTTTACTCATAATTCTTACCTTATGGTTTTTTTTTCTTCTAAACTATGAGCTGCAACTAGTCTTTAATTTCTAATTTAGTGTATTTTATTGTGGTAGACCTTTCTGTGATTGATATATTTTTTGGTATAATTTATAATTTTTTTTTTGTTTGTACTCTTAATTTAAAGGTGAAGTTACTTATAATTGACCTATCATTAATTTTTAATTTTCAACGATTGACCTCTATCTAAACAAATATAAATTTATTATTATATTTTTATTGATTGAAAAATATTAATTAAATTTTGGAATTGAAGTGTCCACCCTAAACTAAATTTTTGGCTTTGCCACTACATGTAAGGGTAAGACTGTGTATATTTGACCTTCCCTAGACCTCGCAATAGCGGAGCCTCGTGCACGTGCCAAAAAATAAAAATGAAGCTGTGTATTGATGGTAATCAAATATACTTGAGTTTGACTAGTTACAAAAGCTTGCCACTGTAGGAGCCCATAAATAGAAATGGAGGAAGCTCCTCAGAGTTGAATAATCCTGTATGAGTTCTGAAAGAATAAATCAGTATTCATATAGATTAATATCTCAAAGTTAGAGACTGCAAAATCAATAAGACTAAGAAAAAACCAAGGCTCAGTAAGGTAGGAGAATTTGCCAATTTTGGGGGATGTGTGTGATGCATGAGAGGATTTTCATGGACAGAATCCTTCTTGTTATGTTGGTGATCTCTATATTGATTGCAGCCTAAGCCCCATAGGAATACTAGCAAATCCAATGTGACATGTATTAGAGGGCANTACATGAGAGGATTTTCATGGACAGAATCCTTCTTGTTATGCTGGGGATCTCTATATTGATTGCAGCCTAAGCCCCATAGGAATACTAGCAAATCCAATGTGACATGTATTAGAGGGCAAGGGCTATCTTGACTCTTTAGCCTGAGAGGGAGAAGGCTTCCCGCGTAGGCAAATTAGTAATCCCTAGTCTTCCATAAATAGTATTGGACTTCTCTTTCCTCCTTCTCGAAAATGATGTATCCAGGGAGGGGAGAAAGATGATGCTATCTGGTAGATAAAAATAGATCAACATGTCCTTGCTTCGAATATCAGATAAGAAGAGATTCTACCGTTTGAGATTACGTGCCTTGAGCGGTCAGTTGATAGGGTAGCAAGAAGAAAATAGTTAGACCGGAGCTGGTGGTGGATTATTGTTGCATTTGTAGCACTTGCCTCTATATATGTGTAGTGCTCCCTATACTTGAAATGAATAATGTCGATGTGGACTCCTGTCAGTTCCTCTGGTGCACATATCGTATCAAAGACCCTCGTTAGTATATACACAAACTTCATTGTCCACTTCCAGAGTCCTCTGTTTGGCAAGTAGTTCACAGTTTTATAGAGTGAGAGTGGAGAATAACCTCAAGTAGTTTAAGATAAGGCTTCATAAGTATGTGTAAGGTGACAGGTTTCATCAAGGAGTAAAATCTTTAGTCGATACCAATTTTTGTGGGACAATGTTTGCAAAGCTAATCCAATCTGTTTGGCTTGCATCTTCACCTTCTGTGGGACTTTGAACTTACGTAGTTACATTAGCTTTTGATCTCTGTTATAAATGTTGATAATCTAATACGCGTATTAAATTGCAAAATGGTAGATGTGACGTTAATTAATAGTGTTACTTCTCCTGTCAAAAAATAAAATAAAATTTGTTACTTCTTTTTTTCTATTTTTCATCAATGGCTTGTTTATTCTGAATTGTGTTCACTATTTCTCTCTAAAGCCAGCTAATCTGTGAACACAAGTGAAATCGCCCCGTAAACAGATGCAGGCAGGTATTGATGATGGAGATCAGAGGGAAAATGTGTATGAAGAACACAAACTCAATAACCAAACTGCAGTAGAGATAGAGAATATTTGGGAAGCCTCCTTGACAAAAGTTCCTGAGGGGAAAGGAAGTAGAAACAGAGTGCCAATAAGCTACAAACAGTATAATGGTTGAACCTGATGTGTAGAGAACCCAATGTTCTCACAAACAGAGGTAAGGTTGTGTGAGAATTTCAATCCAGCGTAAAGCACAGTTTCTACTCATGTTATATGTCATGTAACCTGTTCCAGTAAACTCTCAATTGAAAAAGGAATTTTGAATTATGCATAATACAACCTCATCCGAGCCTAGGAGAGCAGAGCACTATACTATGTGGGCTCAAATCGTTCTTTCAAGAAAAATGTTAGAGATTGGCTCGGGATTGTGGTGATTTGTATATACGAATGCAATATATATATATATAATTATTATGATAAACAAACCAATATCATTGTACAAAGTAATTCAACGAAAATCATCTCTTACTCTCCTCTGTTCTCTACATCAGATGATTACAAAGAAACTCAAGAAAAGAACAAGAAAATGATTCTCTCTCTCTCTCTCTCTCTCCCCTGCTTATAGGTCCATGGCCACCAAAGCAGAGAACANATATATATATATATATATAATTATTATGATAAACAAACCATTATCATTGTACAAAGTAATTCAACGAAAATCATCTCTTACTCTCCTCTGTTCTCTACATCAGATGATTACAAAGAAACTCAAGAAAAGAACAAGAAAATGATTCTCTCTCTCTCTCTCTCTCTCCCCTGCTTATAGGTCCATGGCCACCAAAGCAGAGAACAGCTTATGCCTTGATGGAGTTGAATGCGTCGCATTTGTGCCTCACCTCTCCCTTGCGGCCTGTCTTGACTCCATACACGCTGAGCTTCTCCATGGCATGAGCAAAATCATTGAAGAATACTGCCTGGTCTCTGGCATACTTTTCGACCAACGGCCTAGTCCTCGGGTGAGCAACAAAAGCAAGGTCCGAAGACAAAAGCCCCAAACCCCTCTGCAGATTCTGGAAGAACATGTTGTCGAACTTGCCTGGTGTCATGACATCAAGAAAGGCCGCCATTGCCGGATTGGTTGTGTAATTTGCACAAAGTTTTCTTAATCCATCTGCAAACTTAGGATTGAGTTCTGGATCAACTTCTGAAGTTTTGCTGAATCCGAAGATCCGATTGCTGAACTCCTTGCAATGAGCAAACCCAATGCTGTGACCACCACCCACCAATGCCACCATTTCTTGTAGACTGAAGCCTTTGGTTTGGAACATGGTGATCATCTTGTCCATTGAGGTGTTAGATCTTGCTAAGTTGCCTTCTACGCGGGAAGCCATTGAGACAAGCCCGTCTTTCCGGCCAAGCCGGACTTTATAGTAAGGACCGCCGACCATCGTCACAAGGTCGCGAGTGGAGAGAGATAGAATATCAGCACAAGACACAATTCCGGGGCATGCCAGCTCAAGGGCAGTCTTGGCGCGGACGATAAGGTCAAAGGCATCTCCAGAGAGGGATTGGTTGATGTCGGTGTCTCTCTCTGCCTGGTTGACAAAGTTGGAGCTGATGAGGACGGAGGCATCACAGCCATCAACCATGCAGTCGTGGAAGAATAGGCGGAGGGTGGCTGCGGCGGTGGTGGGATTGGTCATTTGCTTGGTGGTGATGATTCCTTGCATGATTTCGTCAAACTCTGGACACGATTTCGCGTAGTAGTTGAGGGTGAGTGCTGATTCTGAGAAGGGGATGGAGGAGAGAGATGAAAGGAGTAGAATGAGAAGTAATGGGAAAGCCATGGTTAGAGAGAAATGGAGAGAAAGAAGAGATCACAAAGACCTGCTTCCTCTCAGAGGGAAGGTTGGGGAAGAAGGGGAGATAGAGGAAGAATAGCTGTGGGTATGTATGACTAGAATTATGGAGAAGAAATTTGACGGAAATGGAGGAGAGTATGGGAGAGTGTGGTGAAGAGATTTTTGAGGGAAAGCTTGGCTATATTTAGAGAGAGAGAGAGAGAGAGAGAGAGAGCATATACATTGGTGAGTTAGTGATTTTGCATTGTTTTTTTTTTGGGTTGAATGCAATCACTCAAAGGAATGGTAAAGGTTTTGTGCATGGCGGAGAGTGCGCTTGACCTGTGTATGAAAAGGTTGGTAATGAACACAAGGGAAAAATTACAGTTTGTACCCTTGAAATGGATGNTTTGGGTTGAATGCAATCACTCAAAGGAATGGTAAAGGTTTTGTGCATGGCGGAGAGTGCGCTTGACCTGTGTATGAAAAGGTTGGTAATGAACACAAGGGAAAAATTACAGTTTGTACCCTTGAAATGGATGGAAGGGGCTCATTGAAATGATTTAGTTAGGATAGATGAAAATTTAGAAACCTCAGTGGTCCAGTGGTCAAGCCTTTCCTATTATATACAAGAGATTTTAGGTTTGATATTTATTACATTCTTTTAGAACTGGCCACCTTTGATCAGTTACGATGGCCGGCTCGGAGATTGGGATAATAGTCAACGCAAATTTAGACATTCTGTAACAAAAAAAAAATAAAAATTTAGAAAAAAGTAATGTTATTTAGACTTAAAAATTTGATCTTATTTTCTAATTTGCTGATTTGGTTTTATTAGATTTAGAACTATTAGATAACGAGTAAATTTTAATATTTGATGGGTTTTACAGTTAATTCAAATGTTTATAGTGAATAACTTTTCTTTTGTTTAATCTTTTTAGCAAAGACATCTATATATTAATAATTTAGAATATAACTGTCAAATTAGGGACATCTTTACTATCTATTTCTTAGTCTTTTTCAATTTTTGGTTGTATATAATTACAACAGATGTTATCATCCAATCAAAATTTTCTTAGTTATCCATATAAATGGAAAAAAAAAATAGGGAATAACCGTTATATTATGTCATTATTCTAATATATGGTGTAAATCGTTTCATGATAAGATAACATGTACGTTGCTAAATTTCACATATTCTAGTAACTATCTTGTCATATCATTTAATAATCATTTAAGTGGGGTTCATCTTACCCATTTATAGTTTTATTATTAGATAGTGACACTACGTGTCAATGATAATGTTGTGTTACCGTTACACTCAATATTTATTCGTATAAATGAGTAGTTTTCATAATATTAGAATCGGATATGTTTCATTAATTCGACATTCATCACTATGTCCATTGAGTGGAAAAAATATCTTAAAAACATTAATAATATATTCAAGGGTTAATTAAATTAGAGGTATCAAAGTATGAGGTTTGTCTTATTTTGGTCACTAATATTTCAATTGTATAATTTTAGTTCCTGAAGTATTCAATATATTTTTATACAGTTCCTCAAGCAAATAACGTCTAAATTATTAACGATTTTTATTATAAACTTGTCTCGTAATTTATATAATAAAGTATAATACAATTAAAATTTTAAAGGATAAACAAAATAATTTTTGTTTTTCGCAGTCCAAATTATTTTAAATTTTATTTTAAAGTTAATCAGATGATTAATATTAACTTCTCAAATTTAATAGAAAAAATAATTTCAAAAGTGTTTCTCATAAGCACTTTAAAAAAATAGTGTTTAGAACCGTCCTACCACAACCATCACCCCCCCCCCCAACACCCCACCACTATCGTTACCATCCTACCACCACTATTATTGCTGTCACCATTACCACCGCTGTCCCACCACCACCACTGCGCCACCATTACTACTATCACCCCACCACCACTATCGTTGCCCAACTCCTACCACCATCACCACTATTGTAATCGTCGCCACCCCATCACCACCTATGCCACAACCACCATCGTTGCCTCCACCGCCGCCCCCCCACCATTGCCATCTATCACCCACCACAACCATCGTCGTCACCCACCACCAATTTCTACCACCGCCACCACTCATCATCATCATTATCTCATTCTTTCCTTTATTACCACTACCACCATTATCTCGCCACCACCGTCGCCCCATTGCTACCACTCATCGCCCACTGCTATCACCCACTGCCACCCATTACTATAACCCACCACCTCCCATTGCTCACCACCCACCACTGTCGTTGTCTCACCATCAACGCTGCCCCACCACCACCACTGCCAATCATTATTACCGTCACCCACCACTATCACTATTGCCACCCTCCCCGTTGCCACNCATTGCTACCACTCATCGCCCACTGCTATCACCCACTGCCACCCATTACTATAACCCACCACCTCCCATTGCTCACCACCCACAAGTGTCGTTATCTCACCATCAACGCTGCCCCACCACCACCACTGTCAATCATTATTACCGTCACCCACCACTATCACTATTGCCACCCTCCCCGTTGCCACCACCACCACAATCGTCACCACCAACTACAATCATTACAGTCTCCCACCACCACAACTACTACCGCTTGTTCCTACTACAACCGATGTTTAATTTTTTTTTTGTACTTTATCTTTTTTTTTTTATTTAGAATGTAAATACAAATATATTTATTGTTGATTATTTTTTTTATTACTCTGTGTCTTCAAGCACGAAAAATAACTAGTACCTAAATATGAATAGAAAAATAATTATATAATTTTCTTCCTAGATATAGAATTAATCTTACTGATGTAAAACGCTCAAAGCTATTTGATTGAACTCGTATGAAAAACGAGTTAAGGTTGAGTTGTCTTTCGTGCATTTGACTTGAACTCGACTTGATTAACTAATTTGAATACAAACTTGAAAGCTGCTATTGAGCTCATTTAAACTCTTAACGGATCCTTTTTTTTTATAATTTTTTTCTGTGAAGGTAAGTTATTATGGTAGAGCAATATCAAAAGCCTTGCCGGACCCGTGGGGTTANCATGAACTCGACTTGATTAACTAATTTGAATACAAACTTGAAAGCTGCTAGTGAGCTCATTTAAACTCTTAACGGATCCTTTTTTTTTATAATTTTTTTCCTGTGAAGGTAAGTTATTATGGTAGAGCAATATCAAAAGCCTTGCCGGACCCGTGGGGTTAGCCTTGTGACCCGAAGTCGTTTTTAAACTCTTTTTCCTTTTGCTAGAGAAAAAAAACGATCATTCCGATAGGTCTTCCATGGTGGAATCAGAAGCCTTTAATTACGTTTGTATCTGTTACACCTATCAGGAACGAATCTAGTTAGCTTAGCGTAACGGTAAATCATCGAATTTCAATGTGAAATCTAAGACTCGAATCTCTAATTTTAAGGTGAGAAGTTCGACTGANGATCTTCAATGGTGGAATCAGAAGCCTTTAATTATGTTTGTATCTGTTACACCTATCAGGAACGAATCTAGTTAGCTTAGCATAACGGTTAATCATCGAATTTCAATGTGAACTCTAAGACTCGAATCTCTAATTTTAAGGTGAGAAGTTCGACTGATATCTTATTAGACGGTCCCACTTAGTGGTTGTGTTTAGACTTAATCTATATTGACATTTAGATATTTTTACNGGTCTTCCATGGTGGAATCAGAAGCCTTTAATTACGTTTGTATCTGTTACACCTATCAGGAACGAATCTAGTTAGCTTAGCGTAACGGTAAATCATCGAATTTCAATGTGAAATCTAAGACTCGAATCTCTAATTTTAAGGTGAGAAGTTCGACTGATACCTTATTAGACGATCCCACTTAGTGGTTGTGTTTAGACTTAATCTATATTGACATTTAGATATTTTTACAAGAAAGCCTACCAAGACCCGAATGGCATGGACAGGTTTGAATCAACCCGACCCGGATGACATGGATTATCTTGAAATGTACATACTGGATAGACAAATTTGATATTTTTTTTACATGTTTTTTTAGTTGATGCACTGAAAACAAAGTATATTATATTTATGACATTTACGACACNTGAATCAACCCGACCCGGATGACATGGATTATCTTGAAATGTACATACTGGATAGACAAATTTGATATTTTTTTTACATGCTTTTTTAGTTGATGCACTGAAAACAAAGTATATTATATTTATGACATTTACGACACAATTATAATCGTTTATAGTCATTTTTTGTTTCTATAGTATGATCAATATGGTCATTGGTCACTTAATTTAATGATTGAACTTGTGACCTATAAACCATGTTAATTTCTCGGGTTGATATTGTGGTTGAATTTATAATCTAGCAAGAAAATTTTCAATGTAATCGTAGTACCATGTGTCATATGGTGTTATTATTTAATGATAAATTAATAAATAGATAAATAAATCTTAAAATTTAATAATTATTTCATTTNCGAGAAAATTTTCAATGTAATCGTAATACCATGTGTCATATGGTGTTATTATTTCATGATAAATTAATAAATAGATAAATAAATCTTAAAATTTAATAATTATTTCATTTANCAAGAAAATTTTCAATGTAATCGTAGTACCATGTGTCATATGGTGTTATTATTTAATGATAAATTAATAAATAGATAAATAAATCTTAAAATTTAATAATTATTTCATTTATGTAAGATAATAACTACTCATATTAAAAAGTGGAGTTCACTTTATGTATTTATTAACTTATTATAAGATAATAATATTATGTAATACTGGTGGTGACGTGGTGTAGCTATTATATTAATATTTGTAACTTGTGAATATTTTCCTTTTTCAATAACCGGGACAGTTTATTGGTAAAAAAAAAAAAGAAAAAAGGAAAAAGCAAAAGAAAAAGAAAAAAGGCAAAAGGCGAAAAGACCCAAAAAGGGGATATTGCANTCAAAAAAAAAAAGAAAAAAGAAAAAAGAAAAAGAAAAAAGGCAAAAGGCAAAAAGACCCAAAAAGGGGAAATTGCACTTTATTGTCCAAAAATTTAATAGTTTTTATTTTGTAATATCCTCAAGATNGAAAAGACCCAAAAAGGGGATATTGCACTTTATTGTCCAAAAATTTAATAGTTTTTATTTTGTAATATCCTCAAGATAAAATTTTTACATTATAATTCTCAATATATATAAAAGTATTATAATGTAGTCATTTTATTAACTTTCGTTACTTATTTCATAAAAAGCACTCCATCGACACTGATAGAATAGGAAAGAAATCTCGTAGAAGGGTTATGTTATAATATTTTTAATACATCAAGTAAATATAATCTTTAAAAGTATAAAATAAAAATCTATGTAATGAAACACCTAACATTTTAAAATTTCATCTCTTATATATTTTTCCCTCAAAAAGTATTATATCACTCATTTTTATCACTTATTCAATCATTAAATGTTTGATTAGTTTAAGGTTTAACATGATTTTTATTTCAAATATTTTTCATGACATTGTACACATATTAAGAAAATTTAGCGGGTCATTTATTCTAAAAAAAATTTGTTGATATTTTTTTAAAAAATAATGAATAGAAAGTAATTCTAAATGATGGAATCAAATAACGAGAAAGAAAGAAAAATTATTATTTGATGTTGTGGGGTCTTATTTTTGAATGTTTGGATATTATCTTATATCGTATATTTAGGTCCGGGTTATAGCTGATTTTTAAATATTTGAGGATACAAAGTGTAATTCATCTACAGGCAAGCAGCTTCTTATCAAGTGCGACAAGTTAACTCAAGTTCATGGTGGACATGGCATGGCCATCTATTTACATGTCTTTTAGGCAGTGAATTTCAGGCTTTGCCTTTGCATCGTAGATCCACCCCCCGCCTTGGACTTAGGCCTGCAAAAACCTTGCCCCTCTCTCTCATCCGTATTGACCAAGTGAACATGCTTCCCCGCAAAATTGGGACATGGGTTCTGATTTTTCTCGTGATCTCTCCAACCATGTTTAACATGTCCTTTTCTGAGCTCGATCCTCGCTGGGAAGCTAAAAAGAAGCGCATGAGTGAGAAAGTTCGCAAGATGTGAGTGAAACTACCTTCCCCTAATGCGTTATTTTTCTTGGATTTCACCATTTTAACAATTACTCTGGATTATCTGTGAATGATATGGTTTTGTATGGTGGGTCTCCTCTATATATGTGATTGATTATTTTCATCATGATCCACTCGAATTTCTTGGTTGAATTTCATGAATTCTGATTAGATGCTACTGAGCTTTTATATCTGCTAGACATGCAAGTATCCCTTCATGACCCACTTCACTATGTGGTTAATGATGATAATTATCGGAATCATTCATTATTTATTGTTTTATGTGTTATATGGTTTGACTAATCTTCATGTGTTAATGAAAAATTTTGTTTTCTGCTGTGAATTTCTCGATTTGTTTAAAGTGCAGGTTCAATCTTGTTGTTAATGGGTTTTTGGAGATCACAATATTATGCTGTAGGTTCAATATTGTTTATTTGTTTTGATAGATTTCTGCAAGATATTAATGAACTAACATGACCTATGTTGATACCTATAGGGTTTCATCGTGGTTGCAAATTAATTGTCAAATATGAAGCTTTATATGTTGCCAGCATGTATTACAGCTTGTTTTTATTCTGGATAGGAAGCGAGAGAATATTATAAGAATAAAGGAAGTACATACATGGGAGGACGAGAAGTCCTCAATAGTTACATGAAGAAAGAAGAAAAGAGAAAGCCGAAACAGGCTAGAAACACATAAGAATAAATGATAAGAGGTAGTCGTGTGGTAGCACTACTCATGCACTTGAGCCCAATGATCAAAGTCTTGGACTTAGGCACCAACAGAGATGCCATGAACATGTTATTATAGCTTGTGATTGGTGGCAACTTAATGTTCATGGGAAATGCTGGATTAGCTAATTAAGGTCCACAAGTTTTATAGCTTTGGTTTTTTGGTGTCAAGTCATGTGAAAAAGTGAACAACTTCATAAAAAGAAAAAACAAATTCCTATAAACAGCAAATTGTATGAATCTTCACAGTTTTATTAACCACCAGAGTGAGCCAGATGAATTGTTTAATACCTATATTGACTTATTTGGATGCATATGTATGAGATGGCTGTGAGAATGATTGAAGAAGGAAAAAAAGAAGCAAATCCTATCTTAAAAAGTTTCTGCATAGTTTCTATGTGGCATCTTCTTCATTAACTGATCAGCTTAGGGGTCATGCTTTTGACTTTCAAGATGTTTTTCTTCCATTTCAGGTTTTACCATGCTTATGACAACTACATGACTTATGCATTCCCGGTAAGTTCATTAGATCTAGATTCTTTGGTTGCATACAATATCTAGTTTTTTTCTCATCCTCTCTAAAAAAAGAAGAGATAAAAAAATACAGCTTAATACTGTTGTTTTGCAGCATGATGAACTAAAACCTCTTACCAAAACTTTCACAGACTCTCTCAATGAACTTGGAAACTTGAAGGTAATTATTTATTACTTGTGAAATTTTGTGGCAAATAGCAACAAACAAAAAATTAACTTTCTATTCTCTAAAAGCGTAGCTTCAACACCTATCACAACAGTATAATGGATCAGCCCTCACACTTATCGAATCCTTATCCAGGTATGATATCAATCTTTCAACACAAGTTGTAAATAATAATACTGTATTCACATTTTTAAGTTCTAACTTACAATCTCAGTATGTTGACTCTAGCACTGTTTATTGTTTTTGCAACCTTTAATTTCTCTATAATATATTTTGTCACATTATTATCTAATCTCCCTCTTGCTTTCTCTCTTACTCTCTTTGTCTCAGCCTCGTGATCTTGGGTAACAACACCGAATTTGACAGGGCAGTTCTTTGGCTTTCTGAAAATTTAACATTCGACGTTGATGTGAGGATAAATCTTTTTGAGGTATACATTACAAAAGATTCCTTCATATCTTGGAATATAGTTTCATTGACTAGTAATGGCAGTTTTTATTTGAATACTTAAGCATCAAGAATCAAGATATTTACTGTAGATCAAGTTGCTTTGAATTGTTTTAATGGTGTTTTTCTACCTTGATCACTATTGTGTAGTGCAACATAAGAGTTCTTGGAGGACTTGTTTCTGCTCATATTCTTGCAACTGATTCTACAAACAGGTTGGTTCAAAGAGTTTACAAGAATCAACTTCTTATTCTGGCTGAGGATTTGGGGAGACGCATTTTACCTGCCTTTGATACCCCCACTGGATTGCCATATGCATGGATTAACTTAAAGGTACTCCTTCGAGTGAGAATTAAGCGATAACTTTTGATGCCATACTTTTCCATAATCACTAATGTACTAAACATATGATATGAATCCTTGCAAAGTAACAGCGAGTTGCTTATATTCATGAAACATATTGCTGTACGCCAAGCTGCACTAGTGTTGTTTCCGCTTTCATTCTATGTTGAGAAATGGGATTTGTTTTCTCATGTGTAATAAATTTATTTTTCTTAAATTGGCTAAAATTTCACCCCAATGTCTTATGTTTCATTGACTATTCATCACTTTTCATGTTTGTGCCTATGTGCATGTGCATCTGTATTTGAGGGGAAATAAACGATTCCAGATGAATGGGCAGATTTCTACCTTTAGCCGAAACTTAAGCTATGGATGGAATCTTAAAGCGTGTGTGGAATTCTGAGGGATCCACCTAAATTAGAAGGCACCTCTTAGAATGGTATGTGTAATTTGTGTGATAGAATGGATTGTCAACTGTGACGCAGTGACAGATAAGTGAGTGGGAAGACATAGTTTTAGGACAACAGGAATTATGAACACATTTCCAAACAGAAAAAGGGGCATGTATGGAGATATAAGGCTCTATAGGGATGAAGGAAAACATAGAAAAAGTTTCCCAGCTGAGAGAAAACTCTATCTGGCTCATGTAAATTGCAGGTGGACATGTAATCATTTCTCGAAGGTTTATAATTAGACTTGTTGGATTTCCATCTAATGTTATATTTTTTATAATCATTTCTCGAAGGTTTATAATTATACTTGTTGGATTTCCATCTAATGTGATATTTTTTATTATGATTTATTTCATACAAAAAGGAGAGACGGCATCTGTTATGTGCATATTTTTTAATATATTTTTATGTAATATAAGAGGTAGTTATTAGGTAGATATTTTAGTAAGTGGGGGTAAGTGGTATAGTATTTTGTGGGTAGTTACCAAGATAATAGAATCATGGTTCAAGTTAGTTATTAAGGTAGTTTTATTATCTTGTATTTAAAGGTCTTCTTATGAATGAAATGAATATGTTGAATATTGTATTGAACTTTCTTGTGGAAGTTTTGGAGACATGTTCTTCTTGAATTGAGCCATTGGAGGTTTTCGCTCCCCTCGAAGCTGGTTTTCTTCCTCAATTTTATGTTTTTTTTGTTTTAAAAATTCCTCAAAATTGTGCACGTAACTGCATTTTATAGCCCATGATGGTATTTATTAAGAAATGAGAAAATCGACATTTAGCAAAAAGTACAACTACTAAATAGTAGGCCTTAGACTTCTATATCTTTATAAGGGAAGGTTTTATGTTTTCTTTCCTTCTCTTTTTTGTCAAATGATCACAAATTGTATTTCTTATTTAGATAAGGGGAATAATGTTGTTAATCTTACACGCTTAAGAAAGAGGTTGGTCATCATATATTGTGTTTTTCGATGATAATTGTTTGTAAAGGCTGTTCGGGATATCAAAACCATATGATGCTGGTCCGTATTTAGTAAAAGTTATTTATTTTTAAGTCAAATCAGGCAAGCAGTAAGACAAGGGTGATTGTGTGAGAGTAAAAATTTTGTTCAAACAAACTTAGTGTTGGTTTTCTTGTAGATGACAAAATGAAGTTACAGCCCAAGTTGGTCTACATTAATTGAGATTGCAGAGAGCGATGGACTGAGTAGACCTAACTTGTGGCATTGTTCAAACGAAGTGGTTGTCTTTTACAGTTGTTAGTCTGACACTTTTATCGTCAACCATCTGGTCCTTGTCACTTTACCAAGTTTGAGGAGCTTCAACCCATGGACTAGTTCTCGATTCCTCTCTATCGCCTTGCACATTTCCAAGATGTCAAGTCTAAGGACTAGTAGTGCAAATATGGACTTCATGGAAGCCTTGGCAGTCAATCATGACAGTGAAAGTCGCAGCTTCAGGGATGAGAATGACCCGCTCAATATGCCATCATTTTGTGCCTGGTTTCATGCAAAAATGAATGTCGGACGAAAGCAAAGAGCTAACATGAAAAACACGTTGCTGCTAGTCTAGTTTGTGGTTGTCAGTCAAGTGAGTGTTTGGAGGAGCGGAGGAACAATAGGCTCCTTAATGCTTGCTTCAGGGTTCATAGGGCAATTATTCATTCAAAGAGAAATGGAGATAGAGAAATAATTTCATTTTAGATTTTAAAGAGTGAAGGTGATTATTTTTTGTAGAGAGAGAGAGGAGGTGGATTTACCGGATTTTTATTGTGAGAGATAAATGGATTTTCTACATAAATTGAAAAATGGGTTTTAGAGAGATAGAGAGATGATTTTTAGTTGAATGGGTATTTTATAAGTAGATTAAATGAATTTTCCAGAGTTGTTTTTGGTTAGAGAGAAATACTTTGTAGAGGGATAAAATGGGTTTTCTTCATGAAGCGTTTTTAATTGGACAAAGGTCTTGTTTTAGAAAGAGAAAAAACATGCCTTTTGCCTAATACTTATGAATTTACAAATTTACTCGTGCCCATGCTTCACTTGTGACTATTTTCTGTCCAGAATTCTTTAGGCGGTGGACAGAAAGTCAGCATTAGAACATATTAGAATTGAGACAGAATAAAGTTCATGGGCCAATGTGAAACTAGTGCCAAAGTTCAAGGGCCACTTGTGCTTTTACCCTGTAATTTAAATGTGGGTTGTTTATAATGAAGTGGAGTGGTGCATATGCATTTGGATGACATGTCTTTTCTAGTTGTTTAAACTCATGTCCAAATTACATATGCAAAATTTTGGCACCCAATATGAGGTCCTTTCTTGCATGGAATTCCTAGTTAGAAAATAGTACTATAAGGCTCAAAATGAAAAAGGAAAATGTCATAGGATGGCAAACTGGCGGCTTATGCTGCCATTCTTTAAGGCAAGAAGATTGTTAGAAGTATCCAAATCGGCATCATAAACATTTGATGCTATGTGAAGGAGTTCGTCATAAAACCTGTGTTATACTTAAGTAAATTACAAAAGTCACCTAGTATTTAAAATGTGGTTGGTTCAAAGCTCCAGAGCTTGTCAATATATGTTGTTCTGTGGTCATGTTACACTTAGGATATACTTGGAAATTTGATTTTATACAATTTTTCTTATTGAAATTCCTTTTGAACACATTGTTCAGTATAAAAATTGGTCTGCTGATTTTGCTTGTGAGAAAGATTTATGACACCCATCATTGGAAAATTCTGTGGACAGTATGGCGTGATGGAGAATGAGACAACTGAAACAAGCACATCTGGGTGTGGTGAGGATTTTCTGAATTTTTGTGCACTTGAAAATAAAGCCTTTAAATAGTATTTATCAAGAAATGGACTGATTTTCTCTATCTTGATTCAGGTTCTCTGATTCTTGAAATGGGAGCATTATCACGTTTAACAGGTGACCCAAGATATGAATCTGCAGCTTTACGTTCTCTTCGTAAGTTATGGAGCATGCGGAGTTCATTGAATCTGCTAGGAACTACGCTGGATATAGCAACTGGGGAATGGCTTGAGTACTCATCTGGGATTGGAGCTGGTATGTTCTGTCTCAAATATCTCAGCTTTGTTCCCGTTTTGAGCTAGAATTCGTGAATATAATTCGTGACTTTCCTAGTATGTTCCATTTTTCTGATTCCATAAATGTTGAAGTTGAAACATTAATCCTACACTACATAGTTTGATAGGAATAGTTCTTCCACTCCATCTCTGATTCGTACTACTTTCTATTTCTGATCTGTATTTCTTGTGGCTTTTCTTAGGGGTTGATTCATTCTATGAGTATCTGATGAAAGCCCACATTCTTTTTGGTAGAGATGAATTTTGGAGAATGTTTCAGACTGCTTACCTTGCTGTACAGAAATATTTCAGACATGGCCCATGGTACCGCACTGACCACGTATCTTCACTTTGATACTATGTCATCCGTTTGTCTTAATTCCTAAGTCTTTGGTTTATCTCCCTCCATCATCACCCCCACGACATCCCATACTAAAAAGGAAAGAAAATAAAGGAAATAAGACAAAGCGTACGGAAGTGCCAAAAAATGACCAAAAAGAAAGAACGACTATTTTTGTTTGTTCCTTTTTCATGCATTCTCTGTGCTCCAGCAAATGGAGAACTTCCTAATTTCNAAAGGAAAGAAAATAAAGGAAATAAGACAAAGCGTACGGAAGTGCCAAAAAATGACCAAAAAGAAAGAACGACTATTTTTGCTTGTTCCTTTTTCATGCATTCTCTGTGCTCCAGCAAATGGAGAACTTCCTAATTTCCAACGGTGCATGCTTTGAACTACCTGATTTAGAAGATTCTGAGAGTTTGGGATTGACTTGGAGTGTAACTGTTATAGGTACCATGAAGCTGATATGAGGACAGGACAAGCAACTTATTGGCAACTTACAAGCCTTCAAGCATTTTGGCCTGGTCTACAGGCAAGCAACTGAAGCCTGAATCATATTTCTGACTATAATTTGAGATTGGAATGCAATGTTATCTTTATTGTGGTCTTCAGGTTCTTGTTGGGGATATTGCAGCTGCTAATTCATCACATCGTGAGTTTTTTCATGTATGGAAGAAATTTGGAGTGTTACCAGAAAGGTATGATTCTTTTGTTTTTCTGGCCGTCTGCTTTTTCTTTAAGGATGTAGGCATGTAGCCACTAGTAGTTCAGTAGATCTTGGAATGGTTTTGTTATGTTAAAAGAAGATATAACAAGTCTAATAGGAACTTTTGTAATCATTTAGGTATCTTCTGGATCATCAGATGTTGCATCCTACCGAGAAATATTATCCTTTGCGCCCTGAATTGGCGGAATCCACGTTTTACCTATACCAAGCAACCAAAGGTCGGGTACTTTTATTTTCCAATTATTTGCAATCTTCACTTTTCCCATAGGGATATATTTAGGGGCTTTAGCTTAGTGTGTATGAACTAAGATTTCAGCCTGGGTTAGAAAGCATGAGGATGCTTTTCTAAGGGTTGCCAATTTATGCAAATTTTAACAAGGACTAGTTCATACCTAATTTATACTTCTCATCATCCCCAGTTTGCAAGATCAACACTTGCTACTGGCTCATATAATTTTCATATATTGCCCTTCAATTTCATTGCATGACTACAAATGCTAGCCTCCTTACTGTTCTGAATCAAAATAATAGCTACTCCAAAATTTTGTGATGAAACCATAGAAAGCATTCTTTATTGGAATTTTTGGCTCAAGATACTGAATTGGAAGGACTGGGCATTTTCCAAAGATACCATATTCCATTTAGGCTATACTTCCCCTTTAAGATCTCAATTTCATAGTCTGCTTAAATGTTTAATAACTTCTCTCATTATATTTCTAAATAGTTTCCATTACAGTAGTATATGATAAGAAAGAAAGGAGGGGGAAATGGGGGTTATTGAGATGTTGTTTCACAAGAGTCACACAACTAGATTAGTTTAACGGCATGTAATATGAATGTGTGCTTTGTTGTGCTTGTAACCTCAAGCTGGGAAGTTCATTCAATTTTCTTTCGGGGGAAAATATTGGATTTGATGTGTTCAAATGTTAGGCAGAAAAGAGTATGAATTGAGAAAATGTGAAAAGTAATGTGACAAGGATGAAGGGGTTAGAAACCTTGCATTAAAGTGCTTAAATGATTTAAAATGTGTGAAAAATTTACATGTCAACTTGAAGTGAAGGCTTCATCTTATAAAAACTGAAGGTATATCAAAGTAGTTATAATTTGAGTTTTAGCAGCGCGCTATTATCTTATGCAGTCATTATGACAGTATATAGAGTATGTCTTATAATAAATATCGTTTCTTGCATTCATATTCCACACAAGGATCAAAATTTCGTTTCGGTATATTGTTTCGGTCACCTAGGAAATAAAAACGTTTCCATCCGTTTCGGAAGTATAATGAAAAAAATAAAAAATTTAAGACTTATTTTTCTCAAACATTGATTGAAATATATCAAAGTATCCTGAAAATACCTTGAAACATTCTAAAATAATTGTGTAAATGCATTAAAATATTATAATATATCTCAAAAAATTATGGAATACCTCGAAATATTAGAATTTCGATTCTATTACTATTTGATTTCGGTCGTCTTGAAAACAGAAACGTTTCAGATGTTTCGAAACGATATTTTGATCCTTGATTCCATAGTACAATTTGCGTTTGGGATGTTTGAAGTTTTTGCACAGGACTGCAGGCAAATTTTGCATTTTGAGTTTTATGGAAGCCTGCATTTAGCTTAATTATGGATATCCAGTTCTGATGGTTTTTCATTACCTCCTCTGACAGTGATATACTTTATTATCAGATCCTTGGTACATAGAAGTGGGTGAATCAATCGTAGATTCTCTTAATTTATACACGAAAGTGGAAGGTGGTTTTGCAAGCATTAGAGATGTGACAACTATGCAATTAGAAGATCATCAGCATAGTTTCTTCCTTGCTGAGACGTGAGAATTCTGTATATTATTTGCAATATAAAGAAAAAAAAATTGCAATCTTTCTTTTTACACATCATGTTGTATATGGATACTACCTCCTGTTGGATCTGTAAGAACTGTTAGTTCTCAATGCATTCATCAAGAAAAATGTTTTATTACATGATTTTGTTAATCACATGTCAAATGGTATCTGAAGCGATGTCTTTTGTTTTCTACAGGTGCAAATATCTGTATCTTCTCTTTAATGACTCATTTTTTGTTGATCGGAATTACATTTTCACAACGGAGGGTCACCCTCTGCCAGTTGTAAGTGCTTGGCATGATAGGCTGCCGGAGGCCTATACTCCAAGTAACTGGACCTCTATCAAGGTGTTCTTTCTACCTTCTCTCCTATGTGATGATTCCTTCTTTCTTGAATGCCATGAATACCTTACCTCTTTTCTTTTCACACTTGGTCCACTTTCTTTACTTCCTCTCTCATTTTCATTTTCCTTGACCTGATACCTCTTGGCTTTTGGGAGCTGCTTAAATTATTTTCAAATGGCTGCTATTATAAGGATTTTAAAGTCACAACTCCTATCATCATTTGCCAACTCCAGCTATTGCTGGGGGAACTATGATTTCAGATGCCTCCTTTTGTAAGAGTGATTGTTCCACCATAGTTCTAATGTGGTCTGGTCCAACTTGTGCTTTTAATTTGTTCTTCTAAGCTCTTGAATTATGTCTCAAGCGTCTGTGGAGTCTGTACCCAATAAATATGATGTGTTTGAAAGTCCTGTCTACTTCTCTCTCCCAAACCCGTTATAGGTTTCATATCAAGAGTTTTTCTCATGTCATTCATGGATTTTTGTTTTGCTTTCTGCCCAGTTGCTTTTGCAATCCGTTTGCCTTACTAAGACACGCATGAGCATTCTGAGAATTCAACTGGTCGATACACTGCAATTAAATAGGAGCTTTCATATTTTAGGACTTGCTGGAAAATGAGCATTCAACCTTGTGCAGGGTGAAAATCAAGCAAATCGAGCTAGTGCAATGTCTTTACGAGTCTGTCCAGCTACTAAACTAACTGACGGACACCATAATCAACAGCTTGAGAGTGCTTGCCACATCCCGGATGCTCGTGCTGACCACAGATGTTTCACTAATGAGGACTGTGGCATCGATTCAACCACCTGCCGAAGAAGATCTTGCAGCATGGCTGGCTATTGTGGCCTATGGTTGATTTAGAACCCAGAATATAACCCAAATTCTTTTTCCAACGATGAAATAAATGCTAAACCCGTGATTCAACAAAGCCTGCTTGCAACTATTGTTAGTCTGGCAGATGTATAATCTATAACCCAGTTAGAAAAAGATATACTGGAAGGGGAAAGAATTGATATATGTTGTAGAAATTCTTGTAATTTAATTCAACTTTGTAATTTTGTATTTACAAATTTTGGTTGATAACATTTAGAATAAATATGCTGTGTAGCTTGGAGTACAAAACTTACAAGAATCAATTTGAAGTGAGGAAAAAAAAAAGTCATAAAAGAACAATTTTGTCTGGCATTAGTGTGAATTTTTTTTTTTTTTGGGTGTATCAAGGGAGTACCTTCAAAGAAGCTTATGGTTCCTTGAGATGTTGGCTCCAATCGCATAAGCTTATGATTGAAGCCTTTTTTATAGATTGACAGTGAGTGAGCTCAACCCATAATTCAGTTTGGAATAGAATGTCACCCCTATTTTGAGTAAGGATTGAAGCATTGACACGCACAAAAGCAGAAGGAATTTAGACGTTGGTTAGAAAGATGTTCTGTGATAGAATCCGTGCGCGGAATAGATGGGGAAGGTTGAAAGTAGATTAGAAAGAACTATTATTGGATGCAACAAGAGAGCGATCCCGCATCAAGCAATACACAACTTCAGAGAAATCCCGCCCTCTCTTTCAATTGAGCTAATTGTCTCGCCTCACTTTGCTAGTTAGAATTGTGTTCTTCCTAAACTCATTGCATGCACTTAGAGCTGTGTTGGTAGAGCTACTTCTTCTTGTTGTGTGCTTGGTGCCCACCAAAACACAACTTCAGAGAAAACATAACAGGCAAAGATGTTCTTGCAGTAACTATAAAATTCAATATCATAACAAAAATTACTATTTTTAATGACGATGTTAAACCTTTAAGAGATAAAGTTATAAATGGTTGAGGGAAATCCATGATTGACATTTAAATGTTACAACTCACCTATTAAAAATTGTAACTTTTATGATCGATCGCAACGTTTTAGTATCGATCATGTGTTTGTAAGACATAATTTACACTTCAAAAATTATAACTTAGTCATAAAATATTATAATTTTCAGTATGATACTAATAGTGGTGCCATAAACTTTCCACCATTTTAGAAATGAATGTGTACATAGACACAATTCAGCGAAATTCTTAGGGATGGTTCAGTGATTGAGTCAGTCTTTTAATAACCCATAGATATCAAATTCAATCCATTTCCACATCCTTTTAAGGGCTAGTCACTTTTGTCCCTTTGAAGACATGCTCAATCTATAATAACGAGCTCGAAGGAATAATTAATGCAAGTTTAAACACCCTATAATAAAAAAAAAAATTACAGCTGCGTGAAGTTAGCACACCATATAAGAAATGGATCAATTTTAAACATTTTATGGGCGAAGTTTTGCAAGCCCTTCCACATATATATGATCTCATCCATACCAACCCTTAGATTAACAATTTATATGAAACAGAATTCACCACATGGTACATAGGTTTTATATTGTTGGACCATGGATTATATATGTATATACATATGATCTCATCCTTACAAAACCCCTTGGAATACCAATTTGTATTATTATGGCATGATGTCTGCATTACGTTAATGTTGTACTATAGTAATTAAAAATAGTTTTTTTTTTTTAACCGAATGATCCATTCTAATGTCGTCAAGTTATGAATTAAACAAACTAAATTATAAGTCAATGATTTAAGGAAAGCATTATTTCGACCAATCTAATTCAAAGTAGACATTGAATTGAAAGTGAGTTACATCTAATATTAAAATTCACAATTAATTCAATGGCTATATTGAATTAAGGCCTTATAGCATTGCTCATGTTTTAATATCGGGTTTTTCTCATTTTACACTTTCAAATATTAAATTTCTCACATTACATTCTCAATGTATTAAAAGTATTACAACGTGGTCCTTCTATTAGTTTTCGTTATTTTTTTCGTTAAAAATGAACCTATTGACACTAACAGAAAAACTAACAGAAAGCTAACAGAAGTGTTACATTACAATATTTTGCATATATTAATGTTTAATGTGAAAAATTTAATCTTTGAAAGTACAAAATAAAAATCTTAAAATTTTTTAGAGCATAAAGTGTAATTCATCATTTAATGTTTACTCTGTTTCACATTTCTTAGTCATACCCGTGAAGGTTCGATTCCTCTACTCTTTTTTGAGTAATACTATTTGAACTTAAAAATTTGATCTAATTTGCTGACATAATGATGTGATTTCAGTAAAACTATTAGATCAATACCAAATTCCAATATTTGATAAGCCCTACAGTTAATCCAAAGGTCATAATGAATTAGATTAGTAAATTAGGTCTCAATAGCATTGCTCCTCTTTTTTTCCCCTCTCTTGTTACTTTTGATTCAAATTCTCTCTCTCTCTCTCTCTCTCTCTCTCTCTCTCTCTCTCTCTCAAACAGAGCATTATCCTATTTTCACGAGTCAAAAACCCTCATTCATGCGCAAATCCTTCTACGTTAGGAAGACAAGATTATAAGGGAATCACTAGTTCCATGCCTGATATCTACTTAAGGAACTCAAATCTGCGTATACGAAATCGAAATTGAAGAACAAATGAGCAGGGGATAAATTTTCCCGCCTTAAAGACCTTTTCTTCATGTCAACCAATTCCATTTTTTTAAAAGAGAATGGAATGAATATCTCTTGAGATTTTTCATAATGAATTACCGCAAAACTGGAGTATATCTTTAGGCTAGGCAATCCAAGCCGTCGCCTAGGGCCCATATTTGGGGGCCTCATTTTTTAGATTCAAGTTTAATTAAGTCTATATTTATTTTCAATGTCTCAAATTAATTTTTTAGATCAATGTTCAATTAAATCAAAATTTATTTTTTGGGCCCTAATTTTTTTTATAGACACACGTTCAATGAAATCAAATTTTATTTTTACGAGTTATATACTAATATGAAATTAATTATGATACTATTCATGTCTTGGAACCTACCATGTATAAAAAAAAATTATGTAATTGTTTATTTCGTATATTGTTTCCAACTTTTTTGATCAACTAAAAAAGTATGTATTTTGATTTTTCTTTTTAGAATTTAATGGTCCTTTGATAAGTTAAATATATTATTATAATAATTATAATTAATGAGATTTTATCCAAAAATTTTACCTAAGGCCTCCGTTTGGCTTAGGTCGGCCCTGCCTATATACCTACGACCCATTGAACACACTTTCTTGCTAAAGAGAACACACACACAAATTTAAAGAGGGGTTTGAATTTTTTTTTCTTTTGGTTTGTTATGATGTTGTGAAGGCACACAGAAATAGAGTAGAGGGAGTGTGAGGTGTGGTTGTTGGATTGGAGAGGGTTGGACAAGGGGTCTTGGTGGACTTGGGTTTAGTCTTGCAATGTGTTTAGGATAATATCATCCATAGAACGAATTAATATTTAAACTTAATAGTGTTATTTTTTCTCTTTTTAATGCAATACTAATTTTATGTAATTTAATTGATATTTAATATCATGAATTAGTGGTAAAAAATAAATATAACGAGTCTCAATAAACACAGGATTGACATAATGTTGCGCAACTCAAAAAGTGTTGCTAATAACTTCAAATTGCCACTAAAAGTTCTACCCAATAACAGTGATCCATTAATATCCAAATAACTTCTCTTCAAAAAAAAAAAACNTTGAGATGTTGGCTCCAATCGCATAAGCTTATGATTGAAGCCTTTTTTATAGATTGACAGTGAGTGAGCTCAACCCATAATTCAGTTTGGAATAGAATGTCACCCCTATTTTGAGTAAGGATTGAAGCATTGACACGCACAAAAGCAGAAGGAATTTAGACGTTGGTTAGAAAGATGTTCTGTGATAGAATCCGTGCGCGGAATAGATGGGGAAGGTTGAAAGTAGATTAGAAAGAACTATTATTGGATGCAACAAGAGAGCGATCCCGCATCAAGCAATACACAACTTCAGAGAAATCCCGCCCTCTCTTTCAATTGAGCTAATTGTCTCGCCTCACTTTGCTAGTTAGAATTGTGTTCTTCCTAAACTCATTGCATGCACTTAGAGCTGTGTTGGTAGAGCTACTTCTTCTTGTTGTGTGCTTGGTGCCCACCAAAACACAACTTCAGAGAAAACATAACAGGCAAAGATGTTCTTGCAGTAACTATAAAATTCAATATCATAACAAAAATTACTATTTTTAATGACGATGTTAAACCTTTAAGAGATAAAGTTATAAATGGTTGAGGGAAATCCATGATTGACATTTAAATGTTACAACTCACCTATTAAAAATTGTAACTTTTATGATCGATCGCAACGTTTTAGTATCGATCATGTGTTTGTAAGACATAATTTACACTTCAAAAATTATAACTTAGTCATAAAATATTATAATTTTCAGTATGATACTAATAGTGGTGCCATAAACTTTCCACCATTTTAGAAATGAATGTGTACATAGACACAATTCAGCGAAATTCTTAGGGATGGTTCAGTGATTGAGTCAGTCTTTTAATAACCCATAGATATCAAATTCAATCCATTTCCACATCCTTTTAAGGGCTAGTCACTTTTGTCCCTTTGAAGACATGCTCAATCTATAATAACGAGCTCGAAGGAATAATTAATGCAAGTTTAAACACCCTATAATAAAAAAAAAAATTACAGCTGCGTGAAGTTAGCACACCATATAAGAAATGGATCAATTTTAAACATTTTATGGGCGAAGTTTTGCAAGCCCTTCCACATATATATGATCTCATCCATACCAACCCTTAGATTAACAATTTATATGAAACAGAATTCACCACATGGTACATAGGTTTTATATTGTTGGACCATGGATTATATATGTATATACATATGATCTCATCCTTACAAAACCCCTTGGAATACCAATTTGTATTATTATGGCATGATGTCTGCATTACGTTAATGTTGTACTATAGTAATTAAAAATAGTTTTTTTTTTTTAACCGAATGATCCATTCTAATGTCGTCAAGTTATGAATTAAACAAACTAAATTATAAGTCAATGATTTAAGGAAAGCATTATTTCGACCAATCTAATTCAAAGTAGACATTGAATTGAAAGTGAGTTACATCTAATATTAAAATTCACAATTAATTCAATGGCTATATTGAATTAAGGCCTTATAGCATTGCTCATGTTTTAATATCGGGTTTTTCTCATTTTACACTTTCAAATATTAAATTTCTCACATTACAT